CATCTCAAGAGGTCTTGACCCCTTGTCTGGGTGGGCCTCAAGTTGAAGGGTGGGAAACAGAATCAGACTGAAGGCAACCAAAGCATAAAGAGAAAACATCAAACAGGAACTAAGGGTCCTTAGATTGCTACTGGCAATTAGGAAGCACACCAGGAATCCTTAAAAAAACTTAGTAAGTAAACTTTAATAGGTAAAAATTCACAAAATCCCTTCTCCCTTAAGATGTCCTTTTAAAAGGGGAGGGTTTGATGGAAACAGAACCACCAGAATGGAAACACAGGCAGTCATCAAGTTCTGACTTCATCTGGGCAGTTACCTTGTTCTTTAATTTTTCATTATTGCCTTTTATTATACGACATTGAACATTTGTGAGTGAACACCTGTAGCAAGAATGGTCCCGCTCTGTGAAGATGGTTACCAACGTCACCGAACAATTTGGGCGGAAACTGCTGAATGGGAACCTACCCCACTGTGGGACCCTTCACCCAAACCACCGGACTTTTGTAGAAAGTACATGACAGCTGAAACAGGAGGACGCTGCAAGTCGGACCGGGGTCAGAGCACAAGCATCCGGGTGGGTTGTAGGTGAGCAATGCCGTATGTACGCACATACATGTGTTGGAGAAGCCCAGGAGAACGAGTAGGAAAGAGGCCTTGCAGCCACCGTTAGAATGGAGCCCGAAGCCCATGCCAGGCGCACACCAGTCAGGGCGATCTCGCGGGACAGGCAGAACGCTGTCTTCCTGACGTCAGGGAAGAGGTTGATTCACCCCAGTGGGCGACTGGTGTCAGTTATTTTTTTGCGTCACTTACTCAGGCTCTAGGCCTTTTCACTGAGCTGGCATTACAAATTGTTTACACGGGAGGGAAAAAAACAACCAGGAGAAGACTGCTGTGAAAACAGCAATTAGAAAACAGCCATGGACAGCTGCTGCGTGGCCTTGGGTCTAAAGGCGAGACTGGTCAACAGAGCACGGGTAGAATCGGCCTCACTCGTCACCCAGGTCCTTACAACAGGACAAGGTGGGCTGAACGCGCCAGGGAACATCAGCAGTCTCAGGTCGCACGCACCCTGGGCCACCAAGCGGCACTCCCTCAAAAGCACAAGGAACGCTGTTTTCTCAGTATGGCTTTACGTCTTCCCCTAGCCGGACAAAGTACTCAAGGCCGGCGTCGCTACTCAGAACCCGCTTCCTTTGCTTTCTTCTTCTTCTTCTTCTTCTTCTTGGTGGTGTCATTGTCCTAGGGAGAAACAGAAAGGTCGCCACCTGTTAATAAAAGCGGATGGCCCCGCAAGGAGCTGCCTGAGTCGAGAGCAAGCTTCTGGCTCCGCAGGCTCTCCCTTCCAAACCCGGGACGGCGGCCTCGTTGGAGAGGCTGTGCACGCACGGCTGACTTGCCTCTCGATCCGCGCTCAGCGTAGTAAGTTACTTTGACGAGAAGGACCATTCAGGTTACAGAGCTACACACATCCCGCCCCCCCGCCCAGGGAGAACTGTCATATGCTGGGCTGAGGGCGGCATACGCCAGCTCCGCCTAGGAGCCTGCTCCGCCTAGGAGCCGCAAAGCTGCCGGCAGCTGGAGTAAGGCGGGCCCAGTGGCCCTGAAGGCAGAGGCTGACACACACCCCATCTGCCGGCTCATCTGCACTCTCCCGAGCGGCCTTGGCCTTTCTCTCCTTCTTACTCCGCTTCTTCTCCTTTGGGGTTGGCTGTGGCGCAGGCGGAGAGGTCTCCTTGTCGCTCTCACTCTCACTCTCCCGCTTCCGCTAGGGCCAGAGGATAAGAAATGTTCAGTGGGTCAAAGGCTGGGGAGATCCCAACAGGGCGCAATAAGCAGAGTCCTGTGGTCACCGAGCCCGTAGGACTTAAACGACGTTCTTATCCCTTAAGACCAAGACCACCACGGGGCACAGCAGGAGTCCCAAGCCAGCGGTGCCGGGCTCAGCCACCGAAAGCCTCAGTGCACAGCCTTCGAGAGGGCTGCGGTCCCAAGGCCCGGATGCTGGCCGGAGCCAAGCCTGGCCGGAATCGCCACCACCACTCACCTTGGGGGCTTTTGCCGCTTCAGCAGCCACCTGCTTCTGCACAGAGTCACTGCAAGAGGACAGGGGAAGCGAACTCAAATCCACAGCCCGGCCTCCGTGAAGGGAGTGCTGGCCCCCCAGCTCACGGGGCGACCTGGCCAGTCCAAAGCTGCCAGCAAGTACTCCTGCACGATGCAGCTCTCCCGTCACAGACTGACTCCCTCGGGAGTCCTGGGGCCGGACTGAAAAGGTCTCGCCCAAGGCGGCAGTTTCCCAGGAGCAGGGAGATGAGATCCGCACGACATCTCCCCCCCACCCTGGGGCTCCACAGTCCCCTCACCTGTAGTCCACGTACTCCTGCACCCAAGTGGCGGGCGTGCTGTCTGTGGGCTTGCCGTGCTTGTCCAGAAGGCCCTGTTTGATCATCAGCCTCTTCTCACTGGCCTGATGGAAAGGCAGGTTCTCACCATGAGGCCCTCATCGATGTGGGGAGCAGGCGCAGGAAGCCATGACGCTCACCTCCTCTCCCCACTGGCCTCATCCAGGGTCACACGCTTACCGCACTAGACACAGAGCCTCGGCCCCAGAGGCTTCACCTCACCCCCCTCACGTGGGCACGGCTCCACATCCCCTCCCCAGCCCAAGCCCCTTGCTGTGGGCTCTCGGCCTGCTGCATCATCTGAGTACCACCACCGGCTTCTCCCGCTGACCTGGAATCTTTTAACGTCACAGCCAAGGCCTATTCCCACTCACCACCAACTCCCCAGGACAATAAATCGGGTGGGGGAAGTACAAAACAAGACCAGAGCAGAGCCGGTCACGCTGACCTTTGGGCCTAAACCCCACTTCCGGGGATATGTGTCTCGCTCCATGATCACTCTCTTGATCTTTGCCACTATCCCGTGGTCACAGGTGGAGATCACAGCTGTCGTCATCAATGCAATAGCTGCAGCATTGGAAAGAGAGACGGACCCCTGACCGAGGAACCCCAACACCATTCTAAGCCCCCCGCTAGGGACTGAACAAGTGCTGGAGCCCTTAACCCTAGACACGTGGACAACCCTACGCACACACAGGGCTTTCTTTGTTAACGAAAGCAGACAGGAGTAAAGGTGGGGTTCTAAACCTCATCCCTTGTGCGTAGTGGAGAGCAGACTAGAAGACACACATCAGGAAGGCACATGCCACGTGAGGGACACAACACTGACAAGAAACCAAGAAAACAGATTTCTGTTCTCAATAGCCACCCACGTGTGGTACTGTTACAGCACCCCGAGAGAACTAAGTGTTCTATGTGCAGCAAAAATTAAGGCCCACCCAGGTGAACTCCTGTCTTTAATTGCTTCAAGGTCTTCACTGGGCATGCCCACTAGTACGCAAGTGGAATCCCCCCTTCCCTTCTGGCCTGAACCTGGCTGACATCTCCGTTCACCCTGACTGCAGACCATGCAAATGGAATCTGGGAGCCCGCCAAGATGGTGCAGACCAAGTGCAGACTCCCGAATGGGCGAGCGCCGCCTCTTACCCATGCAGATCGCCTCCCCTTTGGTGGTGATGACCACGACCTCCTGGTTGACTTCAATGCCGTCCTCATATCGGAGCACACCTGGAAGCAGGATCTTTGCTCCATAGCAGATCGCATTCACCTGCAGAAGAGCCGCCAGGAAGCTCAATTCTGTCCTCAGTGGACTCCAACGCTTACCAGCCAAGGGCCTACTGGGGCCATCCATGCAGCAGCAAGGGACTATGGTCCCTAAGCAGGTCCTCTCAGACCGGAGCATCAGCATCCCCTGGTAACTTGTTAAAGATACAATCTCCTGGGCCACCTTCACTGAACCAGAGACTCTGCAGGTGACCCAGGCTCCTGGGTCTTAAGACCTCCAGAGGATTCTGATGCTGCTCAAGTATGAAGCCTGCCCTGTATCAGATGCCAGGAGACAAGAAAGGGGGGAGGGGAACAGAAGTTCCCTTCCCCTCTGCCTGTCAAAGAGGTTTCGCTGCATGCACAGCTCACTGGAGAGTCAGAACGGCAACTACCTGAGCGCTTTACCCGGCCCCAGTGGCACAGGGGTTAAAGCACTGGGCTGCCAACCAAAAGCCGGCAGTTCGAATCCACCAGCTGCTCTGCGGGAGAAGGCTTAGACAGTCTGCTTCCATAAAGATGGACAGACAGCCTTGGAATCCCTGTGGGACAGTTCTCTGTTCTATAGGGGTGCCGAGTTGGAACTGACTTGATGGCAGTGGGTTTGGTGGGTTTTTAAGCACTTTACATGTATTAGCTCAAAAACGTAAAAGATGACTTTAAAATATACCTACTCCTCTCTGATTGACTCTCTCCCCATCTGGCATTTCACATGTAGGACAAAGTAAAAAAAAATCTGCCAGCCAGTTATTTTGACATTAATGACATGCCTCTGGCAATAACAAACACCAAGTTGCAAGGTGAGAGTAACACTGGCTGTGACGGTTTAGGTGACCTGTCAATGTGGCTGGGCCAGGATTCTCAGTGGTTTGGGCGTTGTGTGATGATGTGGCCATCCTCCATTTTTGCATAGTGTCAATTTTCACATAATGACCTGGTCGGTCTTACCGACCTAACCATTCAGTAAGTGACTAGGTACCCAGGTGACTGTAGTTGCTGAAGAACTGATTTCTTCTTGACAAATCTTCCATCAATCACGCAGCAATGAGTTTAGACTGAATTTGTTGAGGAGCCAACAGACTGGCCCCAACACAAGGAAACTCAGATTTATGTTGTTCGCTGTGCAATTATAGTGGAATGTTTGAGTACACCCATCTTTTTTTGTATTTTACTATGGACTATAAAACACAAAAATGTATCAAATGGGTGCATAATTTAAGAGTGGAATACAAACCATCACCAACCTTGATTTAATATGCACAGAAATGGATATCCCACAGGAAGGTAATTTTTTATGGTGACGTTAACATTTAACGCCAATCAGATTCAACTTGATGGCAGTTGCGTTTAAATGTTTAACAAAAATAATGTGCACTTGGCCACAGAAAAAAATCTTCACTTACATAAGACCTCATTCTCTGAGCACAGTACCATGTGCTTAAAATGGGAAGGTTACTGTAAAATATTCGACTACTTGGAAAGTAAGAAACTCATCCCTAACGTCACTCCTGGACAAAAAGTGAAAGAACTACCAGGGAAAAGGAGTGACCTGCAGCGCTAAGAGGACTATTCTCGATGACAAGGCATTTCAGTCAATATATTAAAAGTCTAGACAAGTTCAGTGACAGTGAGGTTTATAGACTTACGCTACCATTCCATTAAGCAGAACAAAAGTTTTTACTGAAATTCCTTCAGTGTAAATGCCTTTATTAGAGCTCTACCTCTGTACTGCAAACTCCCTCCCCACATAGACACAATCCTTTCTCTAATGACAGCTTCAACTGATGAAGTTTTCACAGGCACGAGGTTGTGGAAGGTGCACTGTCTACACGTTGTTTTCCACGTGATGTTAGTTACTACGGAAGAGCGCTTCCCTGTCCACGTGCAATTAGTGTGCCTTATTATGAAATGGAATTAGACCCAGCACTAAACTTAGATTGCATTTGGGTCTGACTTAGGAACACTAGTTAAGCACCTGGCTGTTAACCAAAAGGCTGGCAGTTGTGAGTCCACCAGCCACTTCATGAGAGAAAGATGTGGCAGCCCGGGTCTGACAAGATTCATGGCCTTGGAAACCTTAAGGGCCCAGAGTTCTGCCCTGTCCCATAGGGTTGCTATAAATCAAAACTACTTGACAGAAGTGGTTTTTTTGGTGGGACAGTCTGATTTAATCATTCCTAAGTTATAAATACTTCCACTGGAAACAAATAATTGAAAAAAATATAGTGCCCACCTTATGAAAGCAGGAAAAACCCAAAGGAAAATATAGCTAGGTTGACAACTCCCAAGTTTCCTCTTTGGGAAGTTGTCAGAATAAGGCCTCTCCTTTGGAACCCACGTGAGACCAGCATGGAGCGGCAGGCGTGAACTTACGGCGCTGTCCTTCATCACCAGCCGCCTGTGAGAGGTCAGCAGCTTTTCCAGGGGGTAGATGACTCGCCGCAGGTAGCTCTCATCCTTGTGGTTGTCATACAGCCACTGAGCATCCAGGACGTCATGCATTGTCACCATATGGTCCTGAAAACCAGCCACAGATGAAAGGAAGCCAATGGCATCTCATCCCTAACAGCCCAGTGAACCGCACACTTCAACACAATGAATGGAGTGCGTGTAAACTGCTCATCCAAGCTGAGTTTCGCCTTTGACCTTGTAATCATCTCCATTAGAGATCTATGTTCAATCTAGGCAAGCATTTCTGTAGGCTGGGAGAGCAATTAACAGAGGAATGCATTCCATCCATTCATCCTCCCCAGCCTGCTTCAATGTCCCAAAGTTTAATTACCGGATCAGGGAGGCCGCCCTGAGCCGAACTCAACACTTTGGGAAGACTGGAAGATGCAGCTCTCAAATGCCTAGCCCAGAACAGGTAGGTACCTTTTCACTCATAACTCCAGACCGGACTCTCCGAAGTTCCTGCATCTGACCTCCAACTCCGAGCAACAAACCAAGGTGTACACACAGTGTCCGAATGTAGGTGCCAGCCTCACAGCTCACCCAAAAGATGCCTAAGACACACACAATAAAAAGTAGCACTCATTTCCCCAAGGAAACACATCACTGGTTGGGAGACCCCCAAAGTTAAACTCCATCTGAGACAATAAACTCAGGCCAGGACTCTGCAGCGTCCCAACAGCCTCTGCTTATAACACTTGTGGCCTATACCAGCTTTCTTTCTCAGAAGCCAAGGGACCCACCTAATCTTCGCTCAGGATCATACTCTATCAGTTTGCTCTCGTAGATGGTCCGGACCCGGAGCTGCCTCTTCACTGCGGCAATAAGCGGTGGTCGCTGGAACAGGGCACCTGTCAGAGTTTCTAGGGCCTAAAAAAACACAGAAATCACAACAAACTGGCAAATGAGATCAAAGGGTATGTTTTGTGAGTTGAAGGATATAACTGAACACAAAAGAACCTTTCTGGGTACCTCAGAGGGGACACTGCCAGAAGGTGCTTAAAAAGGGCATGAATTCATGGAATCCAGGCCAACAAGGGATGCTGGCCTGGCCCCAGATGCACTTGGGTGCAGACTTACCCTAGAAAGCTGGGTCCCCCCTTCAATAGCACTGTGCAGCCGGACAATCCCCACATACTCTTTGCCTGAAAAGTGACAAAAGAGTAGTCAGGTGTGGCCACTAAGTTTTCTGTTTTCAAACCTGGAGCGACAAGCTGAGAGCCAGACTCAAAGGCTATCTAGTACCTGAAGCTCCAAGACAGGGCAGCTGCACAAGGATTTGGCAGAAGACAGAAGACACAGAGAAACCAAAAGAATATCCCATTTCAGGAATTTGCTCCAAGAAATTATTTCCAAAAGCCAAAGTAGAGCCAGAGGAGGGGAATAAAGGCAGAGAGCCCCCCGCCAGTCCCCAGCCCTTCTCCTCCACATACCTGCACTCTGCTGGGATTTCACCAAGCGAGTGGCTCGCTCTATGCACACGATCAGACAGCCAGTCACCTTGGGATCCAGGGTGCCACTGTGTCCCGTCTTCTCAACACGAAGTATCCGCCGGATCCAGGCTACTACCTCATGGGAAGAGGGGTTGGAGGGCTTGTCAAGGTTGATGAAGCCTGTCCTAGAAGGGAAGAAAATCACACCGTCTACTCTTGTCTTCCAGAAAAAGAACCAACCTGAAGTTTAAAGAAAAGCCCTGTTTAGAGACACCACTATATCTCGAGTGACTAATGGCCAAGCACACACACTTACCTGATATAGTCAGCAATCTCCCGCTTCAGTGGATTTGAACCAGAAGGAAGAGGAGTATAGTGTGTTGTCCTCACATTTAGCTTATCAAAATTCTAGAAAGCAATGACACGACACAAAATAAACTTAACATCTTGGTGGTCCTTGCCAAGCAACCGCTACAGGTAAACCCTTAGTCTATCGCCTTGGGTTCTGCACCTCTATTTTCATGATCTGTTATGACAGACTGTTATGTCGTCTTAAAGGCTGGGGAAGTTACCAACATTAATAAGGACAAGACAAACTTGACCACTGCTCCATCTAAGACAGTGCTCTAGAAAGTGGCTATTCCTTTGGCACTACAGAACAGACCCTGCTGGGCTGGCTTATGAGGGCTGACACCTTCTCAGGGAAAAGAGAGCTAGAGTAGCGTTGCCACCAACAACCGCTCAACCATGACCAGCCTGTCCTGCCGTAGACTCCCCTGCCTCCTCACTCCAGATCCTCAGGGCACACATTGGAAAAGCAAGTGCTGTCTAAACAGCACTGGTGTCTGGCCAAGTAGAAACTGAGCTCCGTGGAATTGCAAGCAAATCAATTACATTGGCTTCTTAAAACACTTTGAGAAGGGAAAACTCAATAACTTTCTCTCCTGACCTAATACCAAATGTCTATTTTAGTGTGAAACAACAATACAAGGTAATAATTTCAAGATGGCATGGTACATGGTTGGCACTGTGGCTAAACACATTTCATGGGTTACATGCTGGAACCCTCAGCACATTCTCCTGTGCTATTATGAGCAAAGAGGCTGAAAGGTTGAATGACTGGACCAAGGTCACACCCAACCTGACCCAAAATGCCCTGGCTTCAAAGCCGATGATCTGAAACCCTAGATCAGCACTGCTCCAACTGTGGCCCATGAACTTTGTCAGGGATGCAAGACAGAGCACCACAGAAACGAAAAGCTAAGCATTTAGAATCAATGAAAGCAATTTAACATTCCCGATATATTTTAATTGCATTTTACAACACTACTGAGTACACTGGGAAACTAAGAAGCAATCTGGTCTTTCATTTCAAAGACCTTGAGGAACACTACTTTACATTGATTTCCTGGTACTTCCTAGAAGTCAAGGATTAGCATTCTTGCTTTTAAGAAGTAAAATCTAATGGGGAAGATAGAGGGTACAGACAGGGGCTCAAGAGCCAATGACCACAGATAACAGTTTGTATTAAAGGCATGGGACACAATCAAGTGTTTGCTTTGTAACATACTTCTCTGTTTTTGCATGCATGGCAACATTCATGGATTCATGGGCAAAACAAACTGCTTAACAGTTAGAAAGAACCTAAAGCCTGATACATGACCTTAACCACATACCTTTAACAACAGGGGCCACTGAGATGTGTCCAACTGAGCCACTTTGGATTCAGGTTTTATAAGAAACTCTTCAGCGTGCTGTATTTCCTTTGACAGGATAGAAACACACCCTATTAGACTTCCCATGTGCATTTTTTTTTTTTGAACAAGTTCAAACCTAGCAAAGAAGGCTATGCTTCTGGATGAAAGACCAGAAGAGAAACAGGGGCTTAAAAGTAGAAGAGAAACACCACTAAAATGGGTGCAAATACTTTAAGGAGAAAGGGCCTTGGTGGATCTATGGGAGAGCTCAGAGATTTTCAGGAGAGCCGGTAGTCTGGGGCAAGGAGCTCTGGTAGCACAGTGCCCAAGGCCTTTGACCACTAACCAGGAGGTTGATAGTTCAAACCCACCAGCCCCTCCGAGGAAAGAAGATAAGGCAATCTACTTCTGTAGAGACATACCACCTTGGAAACTCATGGGAGTCCCAATCAATTCAAAGGTGAGTTTTGTTTTGTTTTTTTTGGTTGTTGCTGCTGCTCCTGGTTGGTCTAGGCCCAGACTATTGAGTAAACAACGGGCCATATGGGCAACTTGAGGTGACTGGGCATCGGGGTGACCTGGATTATTTTTGGGTTTTGATATATGTACACAAGGAGGCCCAACTCCAGTCCATTTCTTAGAAACCTTCAGAAGTTATTGCCTTCAGCTTGTAATGTAAGAAACTTAACAAAGTGAACCCAATTGCCACTTACAGCCACATCTTCCTCTGCTACTGCCTTCCGGTCCTTTTTCTTCTTATGCTTCTTCAGCACAACTAAAAACAGAGAGGTTGGGCGATTTGCCCGAAACCGGAGACGACAAAGTGCAGAATTAAATGAAATGGGCAATGGGGAAGGCAGGATGCAGATTTTCAGTGCCAAGTTCCCTAAAGCCAAACACTTGTCCTCACGGCGGGTAAGTTAAGTGGCGGCGACTGCACGTGTTGCCTTCCCTTCCGGTTCACCACGTGGCCGCAACGGGGCTTACGAATCGCGCTGAGCACCCTGCCCAGGGCTGTGTGCGGTCTGTAGGGCTTTCTGCGGAACTAGAGCTCCTTCCGCGCCCTCAGCCCTCGGCCCCTTCACCCCCACCAGCCTCTAATCCATCACGCGGCGCTGACGGCGGCGGCGCCACACAGGTACGCCAAGGGTTCCAGCCACCTTGGGATGGCCAGCGTCACCACGTCAGAGCAGGGCCCTCTAGGTCTCGTGCCCTCGCCCATGCAGCATAGGGCCCAGAGGCAAGGCCGGCCAGAAGCCTGAGAGCGATAGGCCGGCCAGGTTGTGGACGC